CCTCCCCCCCCTACAGCCCCTTCCCAGCGGATTACCTGGCCCCCCCCGAGCGGCCCCGCGGCCCCACGCGCCGCAATAAGGGATCCCGGCGCCTGCAGGTACGCCATCACCCTGCCCCATAGATCCCAGTCCTGCCCCATAGGTCCTGATCCTGCCCCATAGATCCTGATCCTGCCCCATAGATCCCAGTCCTGCCCCATAGATCCTGATCCTGCCCCATAGATCCCAGTCCTGCCCTGTAAATCTCAGTCCTGCCCCATAGATCTCGATCCTGCCTCATAGATCCCAGTCGTGCCCCATAGATCCTGATCCTGCCCCATAGATCCCAATCCTGCCCCGTAAATCCCGGTCCTACCCCATAGATCCCGATCCTGCCCCGTAAATCTCAGTCGTGCCCCATAGATCCCAGTCGTGCCCCATAGATCCTGATCCTGCCCCATAGACCCCAGTCCTGCCCCGTAAATCCCGGTCCTACCCCATAGATCCCGATCCTGCCCCATAGATCCCGATCCTGCCCCATAGATCCCAGTGCTGCCCCGTAAATCCCAGTCCTGCCCCATAGATCTCAGTCCTGCCCAATGGTTCCTGATCCTGCCCCATAGATCCCAGTCCTGCCCCATAGATCCCGATCCTGCCCCATAGATCCCCATCCTGCCCCATAGATCCTGATCCTGCCCCATAGATCCCAGTCGTGCCCCATAGATCCCGGTCCTGCCCCATAGATCCCAATCCTGCCCCATGGATCCCAATCCTGCCCCATAGATCCCAGTCCTGCCCCATAGATCCTAATTCTGCTCCATAGATTGAAATCCTGCCCCATAGCTTCTGATCCTGCCCCGCCCCCTTTCTAAGCCCCGCCCCCTTCGCTAAGCCCCGCCCCCCTTCCCCCGCTTAACCCTTTCCTCCCCGCAGCTGCCGGCCGCCCCCCCGCCGTCGCTGCCGTTCCCCCCTCCGCGCGGAATGGGGGGGGGTCCCGTGGCCGCCCCCCCTCCCCCCCCCAAAGCCCCCGGCCCGGTGCCACAAACCGTCCCCCGGCGGCTGCTGAGCGACGGCGGCGACGGCAGCGGCGACGATGGGATGGACGGCGACGACGAGTTGGTCATCGACATCCCCGAGTGAGGGGGGGCCGCACGGAACGGACCCAAATCCGCCCAAAATGGACCCAAATCCGCCCCAAATCGAGAGAAATCGGCCCAGATTGACCCAATGTGGAGAGAAATCGGCCCAAATTGGACCCAAATCCACCCCAAATGGACCCAAATGCACCATAAATGGACCCAAATCCGCCCCAAATGGACCCAAATCCACCCTAAATGGACCCAAATCCGCCCCAAATCGAGAGAAATTGGCCCTAATTGATCCAATATGGAGAGAAATCGGCCTGAGTTGATCCTAAATGGACCCAAATCCGCCCCAAATGGACCCAAATCCGCCCCAAATCGAGAGAAATCGGCCCAAATGGACACAAAATGGAGAGAAATCGGCCCTAATTGACCCAAATTGGACCCAAATCCGCCCCAAATGGACCCAAATCCACCCCAAATCGAGAGAAATCGGCCCAAGTTGACCCTAAATGGACCCAAATCCACCCCAAATGGACCCAAATCCGCCCCAAATCAGTGAGAAATCGGCCCAAATGGACACAAAATGGAGAGAAATCGGCCCTAATTGACCCAAATTGGACCCAAATCTGCCCCACGTGGACCGAAATCCGCCCTAAACCGAGAGAAATCGGCCCAAGTTGACCCTAAATGGACCCAAATCCGCCCTAAATGGACCCAAATCCGCCCCAAATCAGAGAGAAATCGGCCCAAATGGACCCAAAATGGAGAAAAATTGGCCTGAGTTGACCCTAAATGGACCCAAATCCACCCCAAATGGACCCAAATAGACCCAAAACGGAGAGAAATTGGCCCAAATGGACCCAAAATGGAGAGAAATCGGCCCGAGTTGATCCTAAATGGACCCAAATCCGCCCCAAATCGAGAGAAATCGGCCCAAATGGACCCTAAATGGACCCAAATCCACCCGAAATGGACCCAAATCTGCCCCAAATCAAGAGAAATCGGCCCAAATTAACCCAAATTGGACCCAAATCTGCCCCAAATGGACCCAAATCCACCCAAAATTGAGAGAAATCGGCCCAAATGGACCCAAAATGGAGAGAAATCAGCCCAAGTCGACCCAAAATGGAGAGAAATTGACCCAGATTGGACCCAAACCCACCCCAAAATGGAGACAAATCGGCCCAAATTGACCCTAAACGGACCCAAATCCACGCAAAATTGACCCAAATCCACCCCAAAATGACCCAAATCCACCCAAAAATGACCCAAATTCATCCAAAATTCACCCAAATCCGCTCAAAATGGACCCAAACCAACTCGAAATTGACCCAAATCCACACGAATTCACCCAAATCCACCCAAAATGGACCCAAATAGACCCAAAACGGAGAGAAATTGGCCCAAATTGACCCAATATGGAGAGAAATTCGTCCAAATTGACCCTAAATGGACCCAAATCCACGCAAAATTGACCCAAATCCACCCAAAAATGACCCAAATCCATCCGAAATTCACCCAAATCCGCTCAAAATGGACCCAAACCAACTCGAAATTCACCCAAATCCTCACGAATTGACCCAAATCCACCCCAAATTGACCCACATCCACCCAAAATGGACCCAAATCCACCCAAAATGGACCCAAATCCACCCCAAATTGACCCAAATCCACCCCAAATCCACCCAAATCCACCCAAAATGGACCCAAACCAACTCGAAATTGACCCAAATTCTCACGAATTGACCCAAATTCACCCCAAATCGACCCAAATCCACCCCAAATTGACCCAAATCCACCCCAAATCGACCCAAAATTGGAGGTGGGGGGGGGGAGGGAGGTGAAAAACCT